ACCTCCTACTGCCCTGCAGCCTTTGCTCTTAGTACCATGGTTGCTACTGTTATAGGTCTCATTGTGGATACAGATTTATGTGATGTGACCTTTGGCTTGAATACTTCATCTCTCAAAGAGGGACAGAGATGGAATTTAAGTTCACAAAGCACAAAAAGTGTCAAATATCTGGTCTAAAAAATTATAAATTATTAATATAAAAGGGTGGTTTAAATTGACTATATCCTGTCTACTAATTCAGCTGTGTGCTACTGGACAGTTAAGAGTCTGATATTGGAATTTAAAAAATAAAGTGCAAAGACATGCTAGTTGGCAGTGTTCTAATATAGAAATTTGACCTCATTTTTACGCATCTGTAATACAGCTTTGGAAATTGTATCTGATGATTTTTCATCATAAAACAGAAATGCAAAGTCTTTTGAAAGACTGCAAAGAATGCAGCAGTGTTAAATCCAATCATTCCTTGCCTGAAGTGCTATATATAGTACCCTAATTAGTAATTTTAGACCTACTTTAAACTTATAGTAACCAATGTGCTTGTAGATAGGGAAAGAAATAACCCTAGTTAAGAAAAAAAGATAAATTGTATCAGGGATTCTACATACAAGGACAGATCACTTACTATTTGGTCTGAAGACAATCTAAGTGACTTCTTGTAAGAGGTAGTGTTGCCTTGGCTTGGATGATCCAATGGGGCAGAATCTATTTTTAGGGATTTTTTCAGTTCCTGTGACCCTTCATCGCTAGAAGAATCATCTTCTGTTGGCCTAATGTAACAGCAACCAAAATAAAAGTAAGCCACAGAAAATGTTTTTGTAATGGCTTAAAATACACGTTTTTTATTAAGTGTAAGACTAATTTCAGGCACTGAAAGGTTTCTGCTTGTGTTAATGCTTCAGCCTTGGCCAAGAAGAAAATTAATCATTGAAAAGCAGTGCTTTAATCTGCAGTCAAATATGTACAATGTAAAAAAAATACTCACTTTTAGTAATAGTAGAACCTTGAGAAACCACGCTTTATACCAATAGGATAGTGGGGGAAAGCCATGCTGATGCCAATAGAATAGGGGAAAAGCCTATAAGCATAAACTAGTACTAGCAAAGCCCCGAGACAAGGCTATTTACAGTTGAGTTGACTCCGCCCTCCTTATCTAGGTAGGAACTTGCTGCCATCCATGAACAGACAAAGTCCAGTATGTTCGGTCTAAAGTTCAGAAGGCAGAGAAGATTTGCACCTTACAGACTAACCAGCACGTGCGTACATGTATCACAACTTTCATGAGCCCAAACTCACTTCATCAGATGATCTTATGAATATATAGCTATTGATATAATCAACTATGGTTAGTCTATAAGGTACAAATGTACCCTGCCTTCTAGGGACTTGGTACCAAGTTGTCACTTCTACGTTGGTATATCTATTTCAGCAGCAAAGTGGAAAAGAGAAACTAGGAAAGTACTTGTGCTATGCTTTTCAAAAAATTGCTGCTGAGCACCAATTACAAATCTTAGAGTTAGGCTAATAAATTCACAATACAATATTATTTAGGGCTCACCTCTTAAAATTAATCTGTGTAAAAACAGAATTTACTTTTAAGATTTACAGGGTAGGCCTACCACCATGGTGCACATTTTCTTAAACCTTTAGTGCACAGATAACACTCAGTCTCATCCCTCCTAAAATCATGGAGAGAAGAGGAAGCCACAGGGTGGACTACTTTGTTTGCCAGCATCTTGACAAGACTGCAGTTTTGTGCTGGTTGCTACCTCCAATTAAGTTCTTATGCAATTCATTCACTACATTTAATACTATTTTTATTGTTTCAGTTTTTGTGTTACAAAAATGGCATATGGTGCAAATCAATGAGAAGACATTATTTTACAATGAGAAAGTGACAGACAATATTTATACAAAACCCTGCTGTGTCTTAGGAAATAGTCGTAGAGCTTGTTTTATTGACACTTTCTTGCTGAAGTATTTGCCAAAAACATATCTGGCTTTATTTAGTAGTTCAGCAGAAATGTTTCTTCCCACAGTAAATTCCTACTGAATTCTTCTAAAAAATTACGAGATGCTATCGAGTCCACAAAAGAATCTTCAGACAGGAACACACCTACTATTAACTTGCTCTTTTGTAGTTGCTGGCAGGTCAGTTGTTCTTTGAGCTTCAGATTTTCCCTCCTTTGCCTCTGGGAGCTAAAAATCAAGAACATACCAACATTTTAAGCACCTTGAATTGACAAGAACATTTGTATTCCTGGCCCACATAACTAATGCTTATATAAGACTCATAAATTTACCATCCATATTAGGTATTCATGCTCATTATACAGACTTTTCATAAGATCTCCTGTAATAGATTGTATACACCTCAAAAATTTTACTGTTCAGAGAAACACAAAAGAATCTGTAGAATAGAGATGGAGAACTTCCAATTTAAGTGACGAGTGCTCTAATTGGAAACTCCCTGGTATGCAACTGATGGCTAATACCATGCAACAGATAAACCATATTGCTTATACCAATCTAGAAAAAAAAGAACAGTACAAGGCAGCAATAGTAAGTAGTGAGAAGGGGTACATCCAGAATTGCTACTAAAATTCAGCCTTGTTAGTAGTACTCAACAGTATGTGGAATTGACCTACAAGCTTTGAAGTGGCCCTTTTTTGGGTAAGTGTTGGGACACATGGAAAGTGGAAAAAAAAATCTGGTGTTGCTACTGCCTACTCTGTACTTATACAAGGAGCTACCTTGATAACCCTGATAAGTACTTTTTTTTTTTTTTTTTTTTAAGAATTAGACAGAAAAGCATTATATAATTAAATATTCCAAAGACAGGAAGGAGGCTTAAAGCCAAACTAAAATGATTAATTAAAACTGGAACACTGGAATTAAGAAAAGGACAAGCCAACAGACAGAGCAGTGTCCACTTTTCTATTCCCTTGTTATTTGCATAGATATTCTCAGATGAACTGCAACTTTCTACAAACTGCTTTGAAGACAGTTTATAATGTAGAGTGATGGCTCCTTAAAATAATGTTCAAATGATAATATTTTAGTTATATTTTATTCTCTAAAAAAACCCTTCAAAAGCACTTATGAAGTTACATAATATTAATACATAATTGAATATATAAACTTTACAGCACTGGCTGTCAGAGACCTGATCAGCATGTGTGGCTTGATGCACAAAACTGAATTTATCTTTTAATGGTGAAGTAAAACAATGTCAGAATAGGTTTCAAATTACCTGTTTAGCCATGCTGTCCCTCTTGCGCCAGAACCACCACCTTCCAGATTTCTTTGGCATCTTTTCTTTGACCCAAGACTCTATTGTAGCCTGAAAATAAGTTTAGTTTGTGTTTAATGTTCTGAATAGAATTAACTAAAATATAAAATGCAGAGTTTTGTTTATTTGTTTTTATTTTTACCTTGGGCAAACTTTTCTGGAACACCTGCAAACTGAGGATCATTGGAGCAGCCAATGGCCAGTTATAATACCTATTGAAGAGAGAGATAAGAAGTTATTATTAGAAACATTAAGGTCAACAGCTAATTAAAATTAATGTCTGAATTTTGTCATGAGCTACCCATACCAATGTCCAACGTGAAAGGCAAATATTTCTACTGCACACAGTTTAGTCAGTGACAAACGCTGCAACACCTTGCTTCAGAAGAAACAAGTTGGAATTTAATCAGCAATTTAAAGCCATTATTCATAAGGGCAAATGACTATAAATAACAATTTGAATTTCAGCTCAAAGATATAGCACCTGTAATGCCCATTACTGCAGAAACAAGCAAAACAAAAAGAATTCTTATGAACTAATTATACAGGGAACATTACCTGTTGTATATCCTTATTACCAGATTAGGATTGTCTATAAGTCCTGGGTTTTCAGCAAATTCATGGTAAGTAATAATATGTTCCTTGAATTTTTCTGCAATACAAGGACATTTTATCAATTCAGTTAGGAAGAAAAAGGATAATTTCTATCTTAAAAACTTTGCATTTAGTTTGTATATAGGAAAACAGACTTACTATCAACATTCCTTTTCATTTGGTTTTCAATTGTCTTTGCTGATCTTCTAATGTCAGCCAAAAGAGATGCTAAAATATGCTCCACTTTATAGGTGACCCATACTGAACTTTTCTGTAACAGCAAGAAGGGCCTCACCCTGCACACCCACTTCACCAATCAGAGAATGAGAAGTTAGGAAATAGAGGAGTGAGAAGTTAGGAAGTAGAGGAGGTAAAGGCCGATTTAGTGCATAGTGGTAGAGAAAAAACCAAGCTTCTCTGAGTGCATCTTATCGTTAAGAAAAAAACCCTTGTGCTGAATTATGACTTCTATACACTTGACTTAAAACTAAGTTATTTTATCAATGTACCTATTTCTGATTATTGATTTTAATCATTAGTGACAATGCAAGTATATTGAAATTCAAGATTTAATGGAGTTCTACTGGAAGAAAGTCCCTGAGCAAGAGGTAGAGCTTCAAACATTTTTTTTTATGAAGTCTAATTCATATTTAATGTACAATTTATACCACTGCATGACCAAAGACATTCAACATGTGTATTAATCTTGGATTTTTAAAATTTAAGCTTCATTGTACAGTCAGAGAGCTAAGATATTATGATAAGCACTTGGAGTAACAAATAAGAAAGGCAGACACTGATCTTTAAAATAAGGCACAGATTCAAAGTTCATGTATGTTTGTTTTCATGAAGGAAAATTTTGAGAGCAAAATGTTAAGAATGTGTGGTTAAAATATGACATTCTATAACAAAGGATTGAACTAAAAAAAAAGATCAAGTGTCATGAAAAAAAAATCAGGATTAGTAACTATTTGGAACAGAGAAGGAAGATGAATCTCCAACTTAAAAGCAGGAGATAAGAGAGTTCCAAGACAATATCCTCACCACCCTTCCTCTAACTGCACAAAACATAAAACAGAAGAAAGTTTATTAAGCAATGAGATAGAAGCAAGATTTTAAAGCTTTTATATAGTAGCAAAGCAAGCAATGCTGAGGAAGATGGTAACAGTTATGGGTAAGTTATATTATATATAGGTGAAATCAGGAGAAGGAAGTAGGTGTCAGGAAAAGTAGATTTGGCTAACATCCTTCACATGAAGGCATATCATCTATCCTTTACTATTAGTTGAGTTTCATACTGTAAATGAGCCTCCAGTAGCCAATTTACCTCAACATATAAAATATAAAGCAGATTCCTGGTTCTTATCCTTCCCCACTTTGATCAAAATTAAAAACTAAAAGCTTCTGAAGAAGAGTACTAAGAACCTAAAATAAGTTGTCGGTTGAGTACACCGTGCCTATTTGTGTTTGACTTAATTTCTTACATAC